TTTTCTTAAGAGATGGTTGCACACATGGTGAGCTTCTTCGTGAATGTTGGCAAAGGAGGGCGAATGTTGTCCCTCTGAATCACCTTTAAGTTATGTAAAATTAATGTCTGTAAGAAGTCTACTCGAGACATGAGAAATCTATTTTATAGAATATACGAACACACATAATTTAGGAATATGATACAAAACATTCAATGCAATTCAATATTACATAGAAAATAACCCTCTACACAAACAAACATTTAAGGATCACTGATTATAAATCTTAAAATTGGCATAAGAAATCACTACTAAACTAAAATCTCTGAAAAAGTTGTATGCAACTGAAGTCTGCTTGAGAAGTCTGTTCGAGAAGTCTACTCAAGAAGTATGCTCGAGAAGTCTGTTCAAGAAGTCTGCTTGAGAAGTCTACTTGAGAAGTATATTCGGGAAGTCTACTCGAGAATTCTAAACGTTTTGAACCTTCAAATCACTTAAATCCGGCGGAGACAAGCAAGAGATTTGTTGAGATTTGTAGAACAAAACCATAAATATAAATTAAGTCGGATCTGCAACAATAAGAAAAGAGAAATGTTAAAATTTAGATTTGCAACATAATCTACTATATTATAACATTGAGATATGCAAAAAATCAATAAAATTCAGCTCTGCAACAATAACAAAAAATTTAGATTTGCAACAAAATTCAGATCTACAACAAAATCTACAAAATTTATACAGCAATAAACTCAGATCTACAAAAATAAACTTAGATCTACAACAATAAGCTCAAATCTATAATAATAAGTTCGGATTTATAATAATAATATACTATATATATAACATTCAGATCTGCAAAAATATCAACAAATTCAGCTCTGCAACAATAACAAAAAATTTAGATCTGCAACAAAATTCAGTTCTACAACAAAATCTACAAAATTTTTACAATAATAAACTCATATCTACAAAAATAAACTTAGATCTACAACAATAAGCTCAAATCTATAATAATAAGCTCAGATTTGCAATATAAACACAAAGCAAACAAAAAGAGGAACACAAAAGCTCAGATTTGCTTACCACTACCATAACCTACAAGTGAAAGGAGGTTGAATGCAAGATAGAGAGGATGGAGAGGATATTGACAGCAAGAGAGGAAGGAGAAGCAATTCATGGCCAGAGAGAAGGGAGAAGAGAGAGAGACGTTTTTTTTAGATAGAGAGACTTTATTGTTAATACAATTAGGTTAAACTCTCCTTATATATGTAGAAAAAAATTTGTTTAAGTAGACTTTTTGGAGAAGTCTACTCGAGAAGTCTACTCAAGAAGTCTACTTAGTATTGATTTCTAACCTAATTTATCTTTGATGGTTTAAATTGAATATTTTGTATAAAATTTTATTTTTAATGGGTGTAAAAATATATGTTTTTGTTATGTACTTAATTGTTTTACCAAATTATTTTTCATGATTTTTTTAATTAATGGTAAAGAAATTATTAGAGAGTAGACTTCTCCAAGAAGTCTACTCGAGAAGTCTATTCAAGAAACCGAGAAGTCTATCTGAGAAGTCTACTCAGTATTGATATTTATCCTAATTTATCTATGATGATTTAAATTGATTATTTTTTGTCAAATTTTACTTTTAATAGGTGTAAAAAAGTATATATTTGTGTTATGTATTTAATTTTTTTTATCAAATTATTTTTTATGATTTTTAAAATTAATTGTAAACATATTATTAGAGAGTAGACTTCTCCAAAAATTCTACTCGAGAAGTCTACTTAACTTCTCGAGTAGACTTCTTTGGGATAAAACAGTAATTGAGGCTGGTGTTTTTTTGTTTGATAATAAGGGTTAAAGTTGTAATTTTACTATCCCTGTGAGTTATTTTTGTCAAACATGCAATAGAGGGTCTAATTTTGCATTTCAGCTCAAGTTTTGAGTCATATTCAGCAATTCTCCCAACATTATAATTACCATTTTTTTACTATTCTTTATGAAAATACAATGAATCTGAAATAAATTGGATGATAAGATTTATTTAACTCTTAACACCATACTTTAAATTGCATCATGTAGAAATTATTATTTTTAAACTCCACTTCTTCCACCCGGTTTTTTCCGATAAAAATATTGAAGCAACTACTGACTATATTTGCTATTTGACATGGTAAGTACGCTCACATGCATATACTTCACTATACTTTAATTTCCTATTGTGTTTTTAGATATGAAACCTAACTGTTTTAAAGCTATTATGATATGATGAGAAAATAAACATGTTTTTATTAAAAGCTTTTTTAGCTTTCAACATGTTATAAATTTATGTTTCAAAATAAAATAGGAATCATTATCAAAAGAGGCAAATTAACAAAAGAAAAAGTCGTATAAAACAAAACTAACATGGGCTAAAAAATTTGAAAATCATTATAAAAAAACTTAACAAAAATAAACAAATTATGTTATAAGCTTTTGAGAAAATTCCATCAAAGATTTAAATTCACCAGTTAGAGCATATCAAATAAACATTATAACTAGAATTAAAACTAATATAAAAAATAAATTTAACAAAGAAAAGGCATTTGTATAGAATAAATTAATGTGATGTCTATGATACCTATTTGGAAAATCAAGAACAAAAGAGCTTAATAAAAAATTTATAAGTTCTAAATATATCAAACATAAAAATTATATAAAATAAATAAAAAATTACTATCAAAAGATATAAATTATTAACAAAAAAAATTAAAACAAATTAATTTAAAATTAGTTTCAAAAATTTCATGATTTCTAATGTATTAGTATCAACAATGAAGAACTATCTAAAGTTGCAATAGGTTTACATAAGTTTCTAAATCAAATATATGTTTCTGATTTTAAAACTAACAAAGAAAAACACTCGATATTTAACAAGTAGTAAAATCTGATTTCTATACATAGCCACTACTTATATTTGAACCAACATCAATAACATATTATAAATTATATGTAAATAATAAAGTATGACATAGTTATGAATCAAACTCAAATTAGTATATGTAGATAAAATATTTAAATCAAAGCATGCATATTGCACACAAATGATAAAAAAGTAAACAATAATGCAAAGATTCCACACCACCGATCCTACAAGTTAGAAAACTAAGATTATCAAATATTAGACTGTAAACAAATAGATATCAATGAAAACTGAATAAAAATATAAGCTAAAACTCTTAGAAGATATGGTAGAGAAAGAAGAAATGATTTTGCATGATCATTGCAGTTTTCTAACAAAATTAAATGTGAACCGACATAAATCATGGATTATATATGCAGTGGTACACAACATCAATAAGACTTTCAATAAAAAAGACTAAATATTTGAACACATGAACCTTTACGAAAAATAACTATAGAAATTCAATGGAAAACAGAAAAAATACCAAAATCTTAGCAATAAAATATTTCTTTAAATCAAATGTATATGTGCATAAAAGTTGGATAATTCGATATGTGTCATTGTTATTATTTTACCTAATAATTTTAAAAATTTATAAATAAAAATAGGAGAAAATAACACATTATTTATTAAATTCTCTTATATAAATGAAAATTTCTACAACTATGTTATTGTTTTAATAATTTAAAAGATAGTAGCTAAAAAGGAATTAAATCAAACTATTAATACAGACTTGCGGGTAGCGCGAATTATATATTATGCGCTTAGCGCGAGTTATATACTACGCACGAGTTATATACCTAGTAACCAAAAGAGTTTCATTATTTTTACTTATGTGTCTAAATATAATATTCTTAATTTTTAAATATCTAAATTTGGATATAAACAGTTTTTAATTAAAAACATTGTGACTGAAATGTGGAAGGGGTATAAAAATATGCCTCATTTTTCTTAAAAATACAAATTGATTTGTGACGTCATTTAAAATTATAATAAAAATGCAAGAGAAACAAAATACTTTCTTTATAAAAATATAGACATGAATCAATCAAGATGCTAAATCTTTTCAATACATAAAATTAAGGATGGAGATTTTATTCTGAAAATCCAATTTGATATTGATCAAAAAATACTCGACCCGAATCTATTCGGATCCTTCAAAATATCCAATCGAAAGTATTCATAATTATAGATTAGGTACCGGGTAATATCTGATACAGTCTGATATTAAAAAAAATATTCGAATTATTCAATTTCTAAAATACAATCAATGTTAAATAAAAAATGCTTTAGATGCTGCATAGGCTGACGAGTAGGCGTTGTAATGGTCTCAAACAAAACTATTTGTTTTAATTGGCAACCCAGTCCAAGCGGCAAAAGTTGGGCAGATCAGTCCATTTTATGTTCACTACTAAGTTTAATTTTTCTGTTATTTGTGGTTAAGTAGTATGAAAATCGATTAATATGACTTTGTTGTATTAAATCTATCTACTATAAATTAAAGTAGAAACATTTCTGGCCATTTTTGCTGAGGTGTCAGCACCAGAATTTTTCTACTATAATTTTCATTAATTTTAAATTCATTTACATAAATTTTTAATCGTTATTAATCAATTTTTTTCAACTATAGTGGATATTTTTTATAAAAGATCTGACCCTTTACCAAATTAAAAGAACGCGGATCTAAAACACTTAAAATAAACCACCTCACAATTTATCGGATACCATCGTCAGTTCAAAAATTTGAACGGTTTGAACAAAATCTGAGGCAGCTATATATTGCATCTCAACATACAAATATCTTTTAAATATTACGGAAATTTTGGATTCAATCTGATCTTCATATTCTTCACCTGTTAAAGAAAAGAAGAAAATGAATATTACAATTTTAAGATGTTCAGAAAACGAATATTCGTTGAAAGTTAAATTATCGGCTTAATATCTTCAGAAAATCACATAACGAATCAAACATTCATCAACAAAATCATTCGAAATATTATTACTTGCAAATTACATCCTAAATTTAAGGAACTATTTCTACATTTCTGTTATTCTACCCGATATATATTATAACAGAATGGATGTATTCCTATATTATACCCGTCGATATATTCTACCCGAACATATATGCTTTACCTTGATCCACTATATATACAGACTATATTCCTCTCTGAATCATCTTCGCTTTCCGATACATTTCAATACTCAGATCATGGCTTCTATGACTTCTCTAGCTGCTTTGAAACCTTTCAAAACCCAATAGAGAGTTCACGTTAAGATTATCAAACTATGGAAGCAGTTTTTGAATGGTGTCCCAACTTTGGAAATGGTCTTCATTGATGAGAAGGTATAGTACTGTACTTATGTTTATTATCTAAGTTAACTTCTACTTTGTGGTACTCATTAATTATTAAATATTGGCAGAATGAAACAATGCATGCTACTGTGAGAAAAGAATTAATTAAAAAATTCGAAAACTCCATTGAAGAAGGAGAATGTAAAATCATCGGTAACTTTACTGTTACTCACAATGGTGGAAGGTTCAGGACCACATCTCATCCCTACAAGATTCAATTTGCAGGAACTACTTCCGTTAGGCCCTCCGAGGAATTGCCTCCGCATATCATTGGTTTGAAAAGTGTGAACTTCAGTGATATCCATGATGGAAAACTGAATCCTGACTTCTTGATAGGTATGATGGGTATAGTTTGTGTTATGTTTGAAATTGTAGATCATGGTAAAATCAATTAATGTTATATATGTGTTATGTTTAGACGTCATTGATCAGATTGTGGACATTGGGGATGTTGAAATTCTTAACGTAAACAAGAAACAAACCAAGCGGCTTACCATGTCTCTGTGATCTAGCGTAAGCATTACATACTATATATAACATTACTGCGTTATAAGTCACCGCTCACTACTTATGATTTATCATTATTTTTTGGTGATGTTCGTTTGAATTGTGTTCTTCGGGGAGATTATGCTGAGGAATTAGAGGGAGTTGTTCAAAATTGTAATGAAGCTATTGTTACATTTGTCTTAAGATTTGAAAAATTAAGACTTTACCAAGGTAATACAACTGTTTACCCCTCTTATAGTTATATATCATGCTTTTAGTTTACTAATACATAATATTAAACCAGGTACTTGGAGTGTTGGTAATTGTTACAGTTTTTCCATTGTTATGATCAATCCTGAAATCCTGGAGATAGTTGCTTTCAGGGAAAGGTATTATGTCATGAACTCACAATTGCATCAAAAATATTTATAGATATTTTTTTTTTTGGCATAATTCTATTTCAATATGTAGTCTGCCAAACGATAGTCTTTCTCTAAGTTACACACATCCTAATCAGTTGACCGTGTTCAATACTATCTCTGTGAGAGATGACTATTTCCTTCACAGTCCTCGCAGAACAATAAGTGATATTATTTCTGCATCTGAGGTAAACTTTAACTACGATAGAGACAAAGTTGTTGCTTTGATATTTCGCTTATCTTAAATTTTTAATTCCAGGTCTCTAAGTGTGTTACTATGTGCACTATAATGTCTATTGACACTGAATTTGGATGGTACTACATGTCTCATCGATCCTGTGGCAAAAAAGTTCTGCCCCATGACATGGATGCAATAAAAGAGAAGTATCCTGGAAGGAAGTTTCTTAAACACTTATGGAAATGTGAAAAGTGCAATCAAGATGTTGATGATATCATACCAGCCTAAGTTCACTGAATTATGCATCAAGCATTTTATTAAAATTCCTGATAATCTATTCTAATCAATTTTGTTTATTCATAACAGATTTATGTTGTTGACCTTTCGGGTTATAGACGACAGTGGTGAAGCTAAGTTCCTACTCTTCGATAAGGAGGCTATAGAAGTTGTCAACCAAACAGCAGCTCAACTTACGGAAGCAGTCAATGAGGTACCAAGTTTACTGATATTAATTATTAATGATATCTTTTATTTGAAAAGTTTCAAATTAATATAATGGAATTGCCATTTACTAGCAGGTTCAAGATCCTGATGTTCTACCGTTAGCATTGAGTAACATAATACGAAAGACATTTCTGTTCAAGATTGCTATACAAACTTCAAATATAGTTTTCAATAGTCCTGCTTACAAAGTAATCAAGATTATTACTCAGAGTGATATGGTGAAGGAGTTCAGTAAATTTACGGCCTCGCAGGTTTTGAAGGGTTTTTTTATTTTTTTACATACATACAGTGTTTTACGTGAATAGTTTGTACTTCCTAGCCTGCCTCCCAGCGGCCGAGAGACAACGGGGGAAGTCGTGCTGCTGAGCCACCCCCGTCGGTGTCTAACGGGAGTGGTGGCTCGACGGGTAGTCGGCCTTTCCACTGGAAATTTTAGCACAACAAGGATCATCCGATCACGGATGACTCCGAGGGCATGGCGGCCATGTGGCGTCATTTCAAGACCGCTGGGTGCTAACTTCCAGCTCTCAAGAAAATGACTGAGAGGGAGCTCTACGTGGAGATGGCGGCGGCCTAGGGGAAGGTACGGGAATACCTTTTGACTTGTGTAAAATTGGTTAAGTGTTGTTTTTCTTAATGCTTTGGTTCTCGATACTCGCAGGCTGCAGAGGCTGGGAACCGGCTATATGCTTGTCTTGAACAAAGGCTGCGAGACGTTCCACATCCGGCCGAGATCAAGGAAATGAAGGTGGTAGCCGGCAAGCTGAAGTCTGACCTAGAGGCCATGAATGCGCAGGTCGCTCGCCAGACTAAACTCATTAGGCAGTTCAAGGGCCAGCAATCTCACATCACCGACCTCGATAACGAGTTGGTTGACAAGGGCGAGAAGTTCAAGGTTGCCACCAACCAGATCTTCGAGGCTCAAGCCGCAGCGGAGCGGGCTCAACAGGAGGCTGCAATCTATAAGGAGGAGAATCTCCGTTTGGTCCACGAGCGCGAGAGCGATGTCTGCAAGGCGAACCGTCAACAAGGAGATGCTCGAGCAGCTCGCCGCAAAGGCCACCACTGTCAAGGAGGAGTTGGAAAGGGTGGACAAAGAAGAGGAGGACTTGGGAGCGGCCTTTAGGGCTGCCCAGATCTCAGATTTCTCGATCAGCAGGCTGAATCTCCCCGTGATCTCCAAGGACTCGGTGGCTATGGACGTCGACCCGATTTCAGGTGCGCCCGCTGGTCTTAATCAGTTTGGTACGAATGTGGAGGAAGGAGGAAGCGACGAGGCGAGGAGGGAGGACGACGACGAGAAGGCGGGTGGTTAGCTCGCCGGCTGACCGTGGCTCCTTTCTCTTTCCCTTCCTCTTTTTAAATTTAATTTTCGAACATGGTTGCCCGGCTGGGCTTTTACGCTTGTTCTGGTGCCCGGGAGGGCTTTAATCTTTTTATTTTTCGAACTCATCCGTGCCTGAAAGGGCTTTTGTTTAATGCAATCGGGCTTTATGCCTTAGATTTTGTTTATCTTTTGTCTCTTGCATTTTTTGTTCGAGTAGGATATTTGCTAATTCGTTTAATAACTTAGGGAAGCGAACTACGATTGTCAAGCTCAAGGCTTAGGTCGCTAGTCATGAGTTCGATGCTCGATTTATCGGGCCTAGACAAAACGATTAGGTCGCGAAGGGCGATCTGTTTATTCTGAGAAAAATAGCTAAGTTTTTTAGCTCGACTTTCTTTAGTTTTTAGAATATGGATCGAACTGCTTCGTGGTGAAGTTTTGGTGTTCGAGGTGGAGTTTGCTTTCTTTTGAGCTAGGGATTTCTCAATTTTGGCTTTGAGATGGAGAAGGGGGTTCGATTTTGTTATGAGTTCCAAACATAAGGCTCGGTCATCCCTGTCGAACTGCGAGCTTTGTTGGGCTCATCGATTTGAGGTCCGGAGCTCCGACTATGGTTGAAGTCAAATTGTAAATCTGGCCACACCTGTGAAGTGGAGTAGGACTCCGAACTTAGTTGTTTTGCGAAATGAGAAGTGTGTACCTTGTGCTGCTTGTGAAGGCATCTAGGATAGGTGGCTCCCCCTCCCCCTGAAGGAGTGAGGTACGTGTGTATTGTAGCTCGCTTATGTCGAGGTGTGGGAGGTTGGGAGTGCTTGGGCTTTAAGGTCGGTGAAATAGGACTTTACCCCCCCCCCCCCCCCCTTTTAACGAGTGAGCGATGCGTGAGCTAGACCTTGCTTGAACGAGGTGTGGGTGGGCGGGCTATGTTCTGACCTCGAAGACGAGCTGCAGAGCTCGAGTTGGTTTTAAATGTAATTCAGCTTATAGATGTATGACAAGGGTGGTCCGAACTGTTTTGGTTCGTTATCTCGGTTTTGACAAATATAATTGTTGCTGAGTGAATGAATTTATTATTCCAAGTAAAAATAGGGAAAGGAGATGATACAATGTAGGGTCATCGCGCGAAGCTCGCCTATTGATGTTGTCGTGTTGTGGAATAAAATTTTGATAAAAAATGGTGGCTGAACTCGTGGGTCGAGCTGCCTACGTATCCCGTAAGGGGATCAAGCCATGACGTAGTTCGATTGTTTAATGTGCTTTAGCGATAATACCTCTTGAGGTTCATTACGTTCCAAGGTCTTATCTCGGACACCCCGTTTCGTACTTTCGTGAGCTTGTAGAAGCCATTGCGAACTACCTCGGTGATGCGATAGGGACCTTTCCAGTTGGTTCCTAGTATCCCAGCACCAAGCTCTCTAGTGTAGTTTTGTACCTTGCGCAGAACTAAGTCTCCTACGTTGAATCTCTGGTGTTTAACCTTAGAGTTGTAGTAGCGAGCTGCGGCCTGCTGGTAGTTTTGGATCATAATCAGTGCTTGATCTCGACGTTCGTCGATCAGATCAAGCTGTTCCCTTAAGAGCTGCTCGTTTAGTTTGGTGTTCGTCGGGCACAGAGTCCGGCGAAGGCTAGGAACTGCAGTTTCGGTTAGGATCATAGCTTCCAGCCCGTAAGATAATGAAAACGGTGTTTTGCTGGTGGCTTTGTGAGGTGTAGTTCGACAAGCCCAGAGGATGGTCGAAATGTGTTCGGACCACCTCTCTTTCTTGGCGTTGAGCCGTCTCTTGAGGTTACTCAAGATTGTTTTGTTTGTTGCTTCGGCTTTCCCGTTTCCTTGAGGATAACGAGGTGTGGAGTAGGAGATTTTTATCTTCCACTTCGCGCAAAAGTCTTTGAAATTTCGCGAGATAAACTGTGAACCATTGTCCGTCGCGATTTCATAAGGAAGTCTGTGATGGCAAATCACGTTTTTCCAGATGAAGCCACGTACCTAGAGCTCAGTTGTTTGCTGATAAGCTTTTGCTTCTATCCATTTAATGAAATAGTCGGTGAGCACCAGCAGGTACCTGAATTGCTTTGGTCCCAAGGGGACCATGGCTCCTACTATGTCCATTGACCATCTCATGAATGGATAGGGTGCCTTTGACATTTATCGCAACTTTTAGATAGTCTTTGGCAGTCCGCTATCATGGTCGGCCAGAAATAACCAAGTTTTTTAATTCGAATGACGAGCACCCGACCTCCAGCGTGGCTTCCGCAGGAGCCTTGGTGAGTGTCGGACATTACGGTGTAGGCTTCCTCACCATGTACACACTTGAGGTAAGGTTCGGATAGACCTCAATTATATAACTTTTCATTGAATAACATGCTGTAGCGGGTGCTTTTGACCTTGAGCTTTCGGGCTTCCCACTTGTCGGGGGGAGCTATTCCGTTTATGATATACTCGAGGATGGGTATCCTCCAGTCCGCTTTGGCGACGAACTCGTCATTGAAGGTCGATTCGTCTGCGAGTGCAGTCGGTACTGTGTGGATTATTGACTCCTGAGTACTTTGTGAGGAGGTCGGGTTCGACTCCGCATCCTCTAGTGTAGAGTTAGCCGGCTCATCCTCATCGGGATGGCTAGCTGTGTTGTAATGTCCCAGGTCTTGGGATTGTTGCATTTACGACCAGGTTGATAGTCGCGTGGTGATTGCGTTCACAGTCGGAGTTTTGAGTGCTAAGTCTATGCTAGGTTTCTCAATGCCTTCGACTGGGATTATTCACTTTATTGCTGGGTCCGAGGTGGAAGCTAGAGCTGCCAAAGCGTCTGCTGCCGTGTTTTCTCCTCGGGGTATATGGACGAACTCGAAGCGAGTGAACTGTTCTTCGAGGGTGCAAACTATAGCCAAGTAGGCTTCTATGTGTTCTTCTCTTGCTTCGTACTCGCCGCTGTAATGGTCGGTTACGAGTCTCGAGTCGCTGTGAGCTTTGATCTCGCTCGCACCGACGCTGATTGCAAGCCGTAGCCCGGCTATTAGTGCTTCGTACTCGGACTCGTTGTTAGACGAGGTGAATCCAAGACGAAAAGATTGTTCCATGACTTCTCCGGTTGGGGAGGTGAGCTGGACCCCGACTTTGGAGCCTTGTTTAGAAGATGCTCGGTTAACGTAGAGGGTCCAAGTTTTGGAGGATGGGTTTTCAGAGCTGGCTTGTGGAGCTAGCTCAACCATAAAGTCTGCCAGGACCTGGGCCTTAGCACATGTCCTGGTTCGATATTCGATGTCGTACTCGCTGAGCTCGATGGCCCATTTCACGAGGCATCCCGACTGGCTGGGACTGTGGAGTATAGTGCGCAATGGTTGCAAGGTCATTACCACGATTGAGTGCAACTGAAAGTAAGGTCGGAGCTTGCGAGCCGACATTACTACAGCTAGTGCTAGTTTTTCCACAGCTGGATACCTAGTCTCGGCATCGATAAGTGTTTTGCTTACGTAAAAGATCGGTTTTTGCTTGTTGAGTTCCTCCCGGACCAGCACGCCGCTTACTGCAGCTGGCGAGACCGCTGTATAAAGGTATAAGGGTTCTCCTTCGATTGGTTTAGCTAGGATGGGGGGTGATAAGCTGTCTTTCTTATGCTCTAATGCAGCATAGAGGTTATCAAAACTCTAATGCAAGCAATGTTGTAGTAAGGCAAGCAGGAGAGTGTCAATCCACTTCTAGATGATAGAGAATCCACAGAGAATGCAAGGTCTAAGACAAATCTAAGCAAATGAGACAGTTTATGAGAAATAATCATAAAAACTAAATGCAACAACCTAAATGGAGTGAAACCTATTTTAAAAATACTAGAAAGGAAGCAGTTACCACGAGGAACAAACAGATAAATTAAAGAGAAGAGCTTCGAATTGTTAAAATTCGACTAGTGGATCGACCACAAGATCGAC